CCGCAAATGGGTCTCTAGGATGATTGCTATATGTTAGTTCTACTGTGGAGATGCTGCAAACCCATTTTTGTCATGAAACAAAATCTAGCGAACCTTATTTTGACATGAAACTAAATCAGGCTAATTTCATACGTAAACAGATTTTAGATTTTGCAGCATTAAGTAAGACATTGAGACATTGGCTTAAATATCTCATGATCTTTAGAACTACTTCGCAGATTGTGCGAACAAAGTACTTTGAAATGCCCCCTTTGACTGTTACCGAAGCAATCGAGCAGCTCGAGTGTCTGGATCATGACTTCTATGGTTTTCGGAATGAGGAAACAGGTAAGTAAATTATATTTCATCGTCATTTGTAATTTTACAAATTCCCCTGATATTTATATTACATTCCATATTGAATTTTAATTACAATCTTTACCGATATCACCATTGTGTTTAGGTATCCGGTAAAGCAATTACTAGCTTTAACAGGCCGATTATTTTACTCCATAATGACAACAACAACAACAACAACAACATACCCAGTATATTCCCAACAGGTTGGGGTCTGGGGGGTCAGTTGTACGCAGACCTTACCCTTGTAATTATACAAGGAGGTTGTTTCCGTAGCGACCCAAGGTGCATTGCGCCGTTTGATATATTTTTTTTTCTAGAAACTTCACTAATAGAAGAAGCACTAGAATTTAATTGAGCCATTTTGATCTAGTCCATTATTAGCACTATGCCAGGAGAATTGTCAACAATGACTCTTCCAGCTCCATTTGCAATTTTTTTTTTTTTTTTTATCATTCACTATTTTCTTGCAGGTGAGGTTAACATAGTCTACAAAAGGAAAGCCGGTGGCTATGGACTTATTATTCCCAAAGGAAATGGAGAAACAGAGAAACTGGAGCCCTTGGTGGTTGATTCAGCTACAAATTAGATATTTTATATTTTGTTGTTATGTTATGTATGCTTGAGAATATCTTTTTTGGGCTTAATTTGGAAAATCATCAAAAGCACTTGAGGCTTTCATGTTTTGTGAACAAGTAAAATATTGACATGTTTATTTCATGTGTAAATGAAGACCAAGCTCGAGCTTTTATCGAATCAAGATGTTTATTATACGAATGGATGCTCAAATTTGGCAAGTTTGTCTACAATGATGAGTCGAACCTCAAACTCGGTAAGTTGTCTACATTAATGAGTCGAATTAAACGAGAGGAGCTTAAAAGAAAATGAACCTCAACGTGGTTGAACCGACTTCGAGCCTTTTGATACTCGAGTTTGGACATAACTGTTTACTGAATGACTTGAGAAATTAACTCAAGTTCAGTTTAGCTAGTTTATTATTGGCAAGTTTGTCTATATTAATGAGTTGATCTTTAAACTAAGCAAGTTTGTTTATACTAATGACTCGAACTTGAGCTTAAACGAGTAGAGCTTAAATGGAAAAAAAAATGTTTGTAAACCTTTATTTTTTATCCCACTTTGAGCTTTTTATACTCGAGTTTGGACATAACTGTTTACTAAATGAGTTGAGTTTTTTATACTTGAGTTTGGCCATAACTGTTTACTAAGTGAGTCGACAAATTAACTCGAGTTCAAGTAAACTAGTTTATTAATATCAACTAGTTGAATTCGAGCTTGAACGAATTGATTTTAAGTTAAACGAAATCATATAATTTTGAGTTCAAGCGGTATATATCAAAAAAACGTTAAATCCTATTTTCGATCCCTTGACGAGCTTACTGGCTCAAGGCGAGGTGAAACAAATCGCTTGTTAATTTCAGGAACCCCAATAATACAATAAATAAAAACTTGAAGTAGATTTAAACAACCATGCCCTAATCAAACATACAAATATAGAAAAACTTGAACCTGAAAATCGCTTTAAATTTACTCGAGCTGAATTCTACAGGCTGGACATCAAATTGGTTTTTAATGAAATACAAGAAACGTAAAAAGAAAAGCAAAATTCAGTCAAGAACAACCAATTAATTGGTCGAAACAATGTCAATTTCATTAACAAATCTATGCTTTACATCGTAAAAGAATAGTAACTGCATAACAAAAACCACATAAAATTCCCTTTAAAAGAGATCAATCATTCAATAAGGAACAATAGTCTCGAAGCAGTGGACCCCATCGAGCTCCGGCGCGAACCTCGCCGCCCTAACCCTCCGGCGATCCTCCGTCCTCTTCTCCTGCTGCGGCGCTGGCGAATTTACTTCTTTGCCCTTCTTCACAACACCCATTTTCAACTCCGATGTTTCACCGTCAGCGTCGCCAGAAGGCGCCGGGTAACTGAAAAAGCGGATTTTCTGGCCGAAAAACGATTCGGCACAAAGCGCGTCGAACGAGCTGAACATCGACATCGACATGATTGATCGATTGATTGAGTTTTTTTCTAGAGATTCAAAGGTAAGAAAAAATTAAGGAATTTTGATTGAAGAGACTTTGCTTGTGAAAAAAGTGAGAATGGAAATTGGTATTTATAGGTGTGTTAAGAGGAAATTCTGGAAGTCTCTTCCAATTAGGAATAGGAAGGTTCTTTGCCATTGGTTGGGGGATTAGGTCATTTTTCCTTCTCTTTTCCTTTTCTTAATGATAGTTTGATTGGTGGTTAATTGTTATGTAGAATTGGCTTGTAGATGTGGCTGGAAATTTTGATTGCGTGTGTTGTTTTGTTTACCTTGTCCGCGTGGCTTATCCTAAAACAAAAGTGTGTCCTGCAAACAATGCAAAGGTGTCTTGACAAGTGTCTTTTTGATTCATTTATTTTAATTTTTCTATTTTTAGTTTATATAATTGGCACGTTTTGAAAAGTATGCGTAGACGAGTTTTGGACTGTTTGAGAACTGTTCGAAGTTTACTCGTTAACAAGAATTGAAATAATGAAAGTTTTGTGTTCATTCTCGAAATTGATATGTTTTGGAGAGCACGAAAACGATTCTGCGTGAGGGATTGAATGGTCTTGAGGCCAAAATTGCATTGTGCACAACCTGTTTTGAAATTTTTATTATATTTAATAATTTAAATTTTGTTTATTTATTTAGTTCTTATTGAATTCTAAGTTTTAACCAGTGTTTTAAAAGTCGCTAGACGCCCGCTAGGCGCTCGACCAGTGCCTAGCGCCTAGAGCGCCTAGTCGGGTTCAGAAATCAATAGTAAATATCTTATTTTTTATTTATTTTAACTACCTGCAAAATAAGATTATCTCAACATATAATAAATTCACACACCAACGTCCAAATAATAATATTAATATATATTAAAGAATATATGAGAACAAAATAATGTAATTAATATTTAAAAAAATTAAAAAAATTAAAAAAAAAATGAAAAATTGTCGCCGAGCCCGCCTAGGAGCGCATAAGTCCGCCTACGCCCACCTAGACGCCGCCTAACCGTCTGGCCGCCTAGCCCGCCAAGGCCGCCTAGGAGCGCCTAGGGCCGCCTAGCCGTCTGGCCGATTTTTTCTACCGATTTGTACAAATCGGAGGCGCCCGGACACCGCCTAGGCCGATTTTTAGAACAGTGGTTTTAACCTTTAGGGACTTGACATTTAGAATAATCATTTATTAAAAATAGTAGAAAAAAAAAATTGGAGAACATTTAATGCATACTTCTATGAAAACGTTTTAAATATATGCATTAATTACTTACATATACATGTTTCCGAATCATATCATATAAAATTAGATATGATCGAAAATATTTTTTCTTAAATAATTTTATCAATATTCGTAATATTTTTATTGATATTCATTATAATAAACAACAAAATTGATTTTTTGCGATTAATGTTGATAATATTTTGTTCAACATAGACATGAAAACATGTTAAGCTCTAACCATATTTTTTTTTTCACAAATATTGGATTTTCATCCTAAAATATGTATAGACAATCGTAACAAGTTGGGTAGTTTTTTTTTTCTTCCAATCAGACGAAATCAAATTGATGAATTGATCTTGTCAATATATTTTTATCTTAAAGCTAGCTTTATTTCATCATATCATATATAAAAAAAATAAATCATTCTTTAAATTAATATAAATTACCATTTAATAGATAATGACTAGATACATTAAAACGTTTTACTAACTACCAGATAATAAAATTAAAATATATTTAACCATTGTTTAGAATTTCAATATGTAATTTATTTGTATACTGTTGTCAACCATGATTAATTTTGTTTATCATATTATTTTTATTTTTATTTCACCATTAACGAAATTATTGTAAAATATATTTCTATTGAATAAGGCTCTAAATTGCATAGTATGCTAAATAAAAAAAAGCAGTAGGATACAAATTATAAAAACTCTCTTTATTATGTAAAGAATTTAGTTTTTGGCAACTGAAAAATCAAAATTGTTTAGTTATTATAAAAAATTAAATGCCATAAAGACATGTTGAAAATTTTGTAAAATATTTATAAAAAATATTTTATTTTAAATTTATTTATCTAGTTTTAAACTAATTATATTAATAAATAATATTAATATAATGTTGACATCCGAGCTGAGCTGGGTGGATCCGAAATTATATATGATCTCTAAATGAAGAAATAGCCGAGTCGAGTACTCGAGTCAGGGAATTGCGAGCGAGAGAAAATCCCCGAAAGCACAAACAGCTGGGTGTGGAGCAAGAAGCATACAGGACACCCGGGTCGGGTCGCATAAGTGCAAGTCCGACCAAGAAATTATTAATCAGCAGAACCGAGATCAAAGCTTGGACACACACTAAGGCATCAAATAATACTAAAATAAATGACAACTTGCAGTTGAATATTAAAGATGGAGCACGCCCACCAAAAATCTTTAAAGTCATTTGTAATATTTAATGCGTGTCATTTATTTTAAATGTCTGGTTGTATTGTCTGATTAACAGTAGTCGGGTTGTCTTGCTATAAATAGTCACAAGAATCTATTGTAAAAGAGTTCTGAAAAAATCACAAAACTTAAGACATATGTTCTCCTAATTAATACAACATTAAATACGAGCACCCGAGCTCAATTACTAAATTATCCGACCTCGTTATTACCTATTTTAGAACATATTCATCATATCATACCAAATTTAGCACCTGTACCAGCTTAATTAGGGAATAGCATGAATAAACAACTTAATTACCTTATTACTAGCACTAATATGGTGCTTTTGATTGATCAAATTCGTTGGTCAATAGTTTGACGCTTACTAAAAAAAATATCGTCATCTAGCAAGAAGCGTTTGAAATGGATGTGTACACGAATTTTGAACTGTTGGGAAGTGTTCGGAATTTATATGTCAGCAAGAATCGAAATAATGGAATTTTTGTATTTGTTCTCGAAATGGATATGTTTTCTAGAGCACGAGGAGGATTATGAGGGATTGAGAGGTCCCAAGATTAAAATTTCATCGTCTATAACTTGTTTTGAACTTTTTATTATATTTGACAATATATTTTATAATACATCATGATTTTATTAAGTTATACGTTTTATTACGTGTTGCCTTATCTCATCATTTCTTAATGAGAAACTGAATCGTTCATTTAATTTTATTAAGTTATACGTTTTATTACGTGTGCCTTATGTCATCATTCCTCAATGAGAAACTGAATCATTCATTTAATTCTCGCGAGTAAGTTACCGTGCATCTATAATTTTCTCCTTAAATACCAAAAATATAGATCTTTT